TATATCAAGTCTGTAGTTTTAGAACACTACTGGTGTGCCGCACGCACAAGGAATTTATTTACAAGGTCGCGGTCCACCCCGAAACAAAACTCATGTCGTTTTCCGTTTTATTTTTAGTATTTTATAATGCCACTTTTACAATAAAGAAATTTTAAGTTACGGATTCACTTCTTTATTCTATCTTTAGCATCTCGTCGCTGATGATTATAATAAAACTAACTCGTTTCCCTCAGAGGTGTTATGGTTCCATTCGAGAACAAAAAAATTAATTATAATTGTCTTTGCGGCTCAAGAATATGTTGAGGGAAATTTCGGATTTAGGAAGAATAAACACCGAAATCAAGATTTTTTGGGCTTAAATAACACGCCACGCTGACGTAAACAATGGAGATTTATACAAAATGCAATCGCAAACGCCTTAGCGACAACAATTAATTGCAATTTTACGTGTCTTATGTAAACGTTTAAGCAGAAAATACATTAAAGCATAGGTTTATTGCTTGTTTAGTTTTACTTAATAATTAGATTGACTTTGCCAAGTATTGAAAACTGAGCGGAAAAAACGAGAATGTATGATGACCAACCACTATTTGGCTTTATACATACGACAGTGAATGGCGAAGATGTACTCCGAAGCGTTTTATGCCTAAACAATCTGAGCAATGACGCTATGAGACCAACACTCAGTTATAGCGCCATTCTAATATATAACAACTTGTCCATCACGAAAGCATTTTTTCAAAGCAAAAAGAGGGGGGGGGGGGGCGCGAAGTGTGTAAAATTTTTCAAAGGGGGGCGCGGCTCAAAAAGTTTAAGAACCACTGGTCTATAGAATGATTTTCTAATTTTACTAATGTCCTCTCCAATATTTCATACAGGTACACAACATCAGTACACAATACAATATGTAGTACTAGAACAACCTAAACATTTGGCGATACTTCAACCGTGTACGTCGCCAGACTGTGCATATTTGCTTGCTACCACACCCATTATTTGAACTTGAATAAAAATAAAAACGTTCTCACCTGGCCGAGTATGCTTAACTAAATCAGAGAAATGAATCTCGTATTTGAATGGAAACAAAGCATCGAACTGTACTGGCGGAACCTAAGGGGCCACGAAAACCCGGTTGAAAACCACCGCAAGTTTTGTCAAGATGCCAAGTGCAAAAACTTTGAAAGCAATGACCTAAGCCTAGGCTTACCATACGCCCCGCTTTAGGCGGGACAGTCCCGCTTTTTAGCGTTTTGTCCCGCCGTCCCGATAAGTCAGCCAAAAGTCCCGCTTTTTCAGCATAATACACAAACATGTTCTCGTTACTTTTGTTTCTGTGTAGCGCAGCGCTAGCCTACGTACTGAAGGTGAATGCGTTCGTTTCCCGCTGATTCCCATTGATGGCAGACGTATCGCATGTAAAACCAATATTAATTAGTCTAAATTCGAATTATTTGTACCGGTATCGTTAACGTCAATTACTTCCTATTTTTCGAACTGAACCCGATATTTGGACAGAGAATATGCGCATGAAATTTCGATAACAATATGGTCAATAAAGACAGCTTTAAATGTAGGAATGTAGTAAAATCGGAAAATGTGAAGTTACAAAATTACAGCTAAGGGGTCGTTGTCTTTTGGAGGTGTCCCGATTTGGAGTCACAAAAATATGGTAACCCTATGTAATGCCCATTTAGAAAGTGTTCCAATCGTGGTATCATTCAGTGTGCCGTCAATGTCGAAAAGCTATCGAGCGTGATGCAGCAACAAGAAATGTCATTTGTAATTTTTTTCTTTCAATATGACGACTGAGTTGAGTTCACGAAAAGTCGCAGTATTCGCGCGCTGTTCCGTTTTCAACTTTTGAAAAATATGTGCAGCCCGTCAAGACTTGTAACCCCTAATTTTGGCCAGCGAGCGACAAAAGGTTGCCGACCCCTGGCATAGCCGATGGTCGGTTACAGCTTCCCCCACTATCAAGTCCATGCATCTAGAAGAAATACATGGCTGATTAATTCTATGGACTGGTAACCGGACTGGAAGCCGCCGTACATGAGGAATCGGGGGGGGGGGGGGGGGTAAGGAGTGGATCAAATTTTATTCAACGGAAAGTGCGGTGGTTAAGGCGAAAAATCCCTAAATTGAAGAAGTGGATGGAATTTCTAACGACGAATCGTGAGGTTGTTGAAGGTGACTTTTGATGACTGGTAACTAGGGTTGCCATCAACCCAGAACCAAAAATAAGCACGGGCGTCAAAATGATATTTTTCAAGGGGAGGGGTCTTAACAACGGCAGAAACGCAGAATAGAATGAGATCATACACGAGTCTCCCACTTTTTATCATTAGAAGTCGCTTCGAACATAGTTGTACGCAGCTCCAAAATTGCAAAAAGCTATGGAAAGACACGGAGTCACTGCCACATGCAATCTCTAAGACAAGGGTCGGCAACTTTTGACGCTCCCGGGCTAAAACCAAGTGTTACGAATCTTGGCGGGCCGCACATATTTTTTCAAGGAAGTTAAAAACTGAACGGGTGGCAGATGAAGCACATTATTTATACAGATTAGAAATTCAAATTTCGGACTTTAATGGACCTTTCCCCGACCTTTGAACCCCGGAAAATTCTTCCTATACTTTACCATTGCCAAGTTTTCAGGGCTATTTTAAGAGTGCTTTTGCGATTTGGCGCCTGTAAAATGGGGTATGTGTTTCAAACCATCATTATGATTCATCGCATACAACAATCTGTTTTTTAAAAGTACCGGTAAGGAACTTTAGCCTAGTCTATCACAGCTATTTCTACACTAATTTTTATTACTGCAAATAAATTAAAACTCCTAGGAAGACAGAGTGATCATTGAATTATCTGATTTTTATTTTAGTTTCCGAAACTCAACTGAAAACTAACAAATAGAGTTCAAAAATGCGAACACGAGGTAATGTTTACAACCACGCTTGAAAATCTGTCTGAGTGAGAAAAGTGTCTGAGCGGATGCGAAAAGGGGGCATTGTTACGTCACTTTTTGCATCTTGCTGATTGGCCAATGTCACGAAGTAAACAAGGAAGTCGATGCTCGGGGAACTTAAATATAAATCAGATAATTCAATGATCACTCCGTCTTCTTAGGAGTTTCAATTTAATTGCAGTAATAAAAATTATTGTAGAAATAGCTGTGATATATTAGCCTGAAATTCTTTACCGGTACTTTTAAAAAACAGATTGTTGTATGCGATGAATCATAATGATGGTTTGAAACACATACCCCATTTTATAGGCGCCACCTCGCAAAAGCATTCTTAAAATAGCCCCGAAAACTTTGCAATGGTAAAGTATAGGAGGAATTTTCCGGGGATCAAAGGTCGGGGAAAGGTCCATCCTAGTTCTTCGCAAGGAAAATTTCATTTTGGTTAAGTAATTGAAAACAAAAGCGATCTTTTTCATAAAGATTGGAAAACGAATTATTGATAAAGAACAAGAATAACATAATAACGATCCGTAGGTTTAAGTGAAGCACTGTGGGCCGGATTATTTTACTCCGTGTGCCGGATATGACCCGCAGGTGGCCGACCTCTAATCTAAAGTCCTCATACTTTGGTTTCCCGCAATGCTTCTTGTGTTTTTATGGTAGTATTGTGGGCACCGATTACTGTTTTCCACCTTTCTCGATGTCGCAATAGCAGTAGTTGATAGAAAATTTCTTTTCATGTTCGAAACAGAACTCATGGTTACTCTTACCGCTTACTCTAAATTGCAGTTTGTCCCTAAAAACAGTATTCCTAAAAACTAGCAGCAACTATTGTGTGTGTCACAGTTTGCCTGGAAATACCCCAAACCTCACCGTTGACAGAAAAAGTTCGTCCCTCGTTTCCACGCAAGCTTTGTACGCAAAACATCTGGTTATTTCTTAGAAATAAGCACGGTATGGCAACCCTGCTGGTATCTGATACTGCGGTGAATTAGGTGTGAGAACGCTCGCGTTACAGGGATAATAAAAGTACAGTATTTAGCGTTCACATTTGAATCTGTTACATTTCCATCTTCAGCCAGTCATGAGTTGAAAAAGAATAACGTCATATAGCACGTTGCTATTATGGTATAAATTTCGTTGAAAATACCAATGAAAATAACGAATGGTCGGCTAAAATAAATTCTGTGCTTCCCCCTGTATTATCCGCACCTGCATATCAGAGTCAGAGTTATTTTAATTTTCACTTGAATCAATAAGTTTCAACATAAAAGTTCTTGAGTAAAATGAAAATGACAGGAGTTTTGAAGAACGGATTGCTCCGTCATCGGGTCTACAACACATTTGGGATAAGCAAAAACTAAATAAAGAAACAAATAATGGAGATCAGTAGCAATACATAACAATAGAAATACATTAATTTTCAGTGGAACTGGCATTCTCTAGTGGCAGTGGTGGGATTCAAATTTTTTGTCAGCCGGTTCCTTCACAAAAGTCATATTTTTCAGCCGGTTCTGTTGCAAACAGAACATTGAAAGTAACCAGTAATGCTAACCGGTTCGCTGATCTCATAAAATTCCGTGAGACGGTTCTATAGAACCGGTGCGAACCGGCTGAATCCCACCACTGTCTAGTTGTAACAATATCAAAATTGTGTCTTCTAATAAAACATTTCTGGGAACTAGACAGTTGCATCAAGTTTACGGTATTGGTACCGTACAACATTGAGGCATAAATGTGAGGTTTCGCATTTATCAAATAACGTCATAATGACCCCGATTGTTACATTGTGTTGCTTATTGTATAAACGCTAGCCTGGGTGTTGTAAAAAACTGTTTTTATTTTTATTTATAGTTTCGCATTAAGTTTTGAGACACCGCCAGTAACCACGTCTATTATCTGTAACATGCCCAATCAGTAAAGTATATAATTGAGATATTGGCAAATAATGAGAATAGTAGCTAGTTTTAATTGAATTGAACGTATACATTTGGCACAATTATTCATTGTTTACATCTGAAATTTTATATCCTTCCTATTTGAAGCCAAAGAGATCGAAGTCAGTCTTATACTTTTTGCGTATACCTTTTACTAGGTTTTCTGGTACTTCACCAATGTATCGTTCAAATGTGTCTGTGTTGGTCTGTTTTGACTTTTCGTTATTTCGGGGGAACGTTATATTTGTAATTGCAAGTTTATCCATGAAATCAACCATGTCGTCATCAATGGTTTCAATGTGAGCAATGTAATCGTATGATATTGAGCAAGGTAAACACAATTTGTGATAAAGTTCCCAGTGTCTATCATACTCGTTTTCTTCTGTTAGGTAGGAAACAAACTCTCCAAAGGAAGCCAACTTTCCTGTTTCGTTTTTTACAAATTGTTGGTGAATATATTTCGATATTTTAGCAAATCCCCGATTCCAAGGATACTCATGCTCTAATTTATTTATATATGCTGATAATAATCTGTACAGTGGATCTCTTACAATGATGAGTTTCTGATACGTATCGAGTCGCTTCTGAATCTCAGTGACATTTTTGATGTTTTCAAGTCCAGATGTTTGTCGCCAAGTTCATGAGCAAGCCATGATTTCACTGTCTGTGGATTTGTCTCATTAACTATACCTTCCGTGATTAGAAGTAATTTCTTTATGCTTGAACATCCACATTTAGGAATCTCACACACCAAAAACTGAAATAAAAAAATAAGTTATATATAGGTATTTATAAAAAAAAATGTGGAAGAAAACCATACTTTCAATACTCCGTACATTAGCAACATTTTCAGCATTTAACAATTTCCTCAGCAATCTACTTATGCTGACCTTAGTATACTAAAACAATTATTGCGGTGGATTTTTACATATATAGTGACATAAGTATTCAATCCACCTTTGTGATTACGCTTTTTTGATACTATAAAAATAGGGTTATTCAAAAACTTTGATGAGTGATTTCATAATACAATAAAATTATTAAGTTTTGCAATATATATTTAGATTACCCACTTAGGCCAAAACAACTACGAAATCGAGAAGTGCATTATAAAGCATAGAGCACAGAAGCATAGAGTATATTGCCCAAACCTATGAGTTTACCTTGTATTTATCGGAATATAATAACTTGACTTGCTGCAGCATTTGGCGTATATCATCAGTTTGCGTCACCATAGGCTTGTTTAAGCCTAATCGAAGACACCCATTGTGCAGATTGGATTTCCTATAATTTTGTCGAAGTTCAATTTCACTGAGAGCTTGTTTATGTTCGGATTTCCGGTGTAGGTAATGTTTTATCTACACAAGAAAACACATAAAAAATAAACATATTATTTTTTTTGTCTTTCGTCAAATTGTCACTTTGTCAACTATAACTAAATATAAATTTTTCCTTAAACTGGAGGTAATTGATAAAATAGGTCAAATATATTTTTGAATGAATGATTTCATTTTAAAGATTCAGTACTATTTTTTGCAAAAGAAGTCGTCACAGCTAGACTGGAAAATATCACACAATTTTAATCACAACACACTTATAGTGCACATACTCTAGTTTTCATAATGAACGCAAAAAAAAATATTGAAAACAAGCATGTTCAAGAGCAATAAAAATATTTACAACTTACTTTTAAGGAAAAAAGCGACATGGACGACTAGCAATCCAAAAAGTAAACATTTCCATGTGGAGAACATTTTCATGCTTCAGCATTCTAAATTACTAAAATTAGATTGGAATCTAAAACAAAAAATAAAGTAATCAGTAGTTTATTTTATCACCACATCGAAAATACACTTTTTACATACGAGATCAGGAAAAAAAGTTATAAATAAGACACAACTGCCCAATGACAGATACGTTATCAAAATGTTACTTTTGAATGGAAAATAAATTCAAAAAAATAGTTAACAGCAAACAAAAAATGAAACAAAATCGACAACCTTTTAGCTACGGAATTCCAGTTTGAACCCTAGAAAATAATCATATATAGCATGAATGAAAATAGACCCAAAAGTCATTTCTATAATTGGTTTTTATGGCAAGACGAAGGAATTGGGTTTCAAATCTTTTGAAAACTTGAGACCATCCACAAAATAATGATCATTGTGAAAAATTTAATTCTTGAGTTCTTAGAGACCCATCGCTGGTTTTAGGGCAAGCCTTTCTATATCTTTCCGTGAAACCATTTGAGTTATAATATTATTATTATAATATATTATATATTCAGAGAAGCGCTTCAAGACCTCAACTTAATAAAAAGGTATAAATAAAAAGTGATATTAGGAGATGTGGTGACTGTCTCGCTAGGAGCTGCAAAACATTTGCACCACTTGATTTCTGAAAATTAGAACCCGCAGTCTAACTAACATTATTAAAATTTACTATCATTTTAATATAACAACAACATAATTACAAAACAATTCCTATGTTCATTTCGTGTCCAAAAACTTTGTGATGCATTTATCCTACTTTCAATCTTTGGTTCCTATTTCATCTTTCCTGAATACTGAATATTCGACATCTGTTTGCCTGGAAAATCATAACTAAAATATACTTTGGGTAAATATATTTTGCTAAGGTACCTTCAAGGATCTTATATGGACAACTATAGTCTGGGGTGCGTTACAGAATCTCATTTCTGGTCTAGATATATGCTCATAAATATCCTGAGAGAAATTGGACTTCGAATTCGACAAGACAAAGTTCAGGATAAAGTGTTTTGTGTTATGAATACTCAACATTTGTATAAAGTCACAATGCTTGTTAGGGCCGAATACTCTTCAGTCAGTTGGTATGGCCGTTGAGGACGGAAATGTTAACATAAATGTATATATATATATATATTTGAATGAACTTTGATTGCACAAATATGATTGTAACTTCCTTGTCTGTCAATATTCTAATTTTGAAAATATTTTAATATTAGAAAGGGGAATATATTTTATATCCACAAACTTATGAGACTGGTGTGTACATAACGTTCCTCTCGTGTAGATAGAAGCGCCAGCTATTGGTGCAAGACTTGAAACAATTCAACGACACTGTCAGGGACGCAGCTGCGGAAAGTGAATTTCTTAAAGCGGATATCGTTGAGAAAATATTTTCATCATAGAGATTCCGTTGGAGAGCGGTAATTTTACAGTGTACAGGGTGTCCCAAAAGTAAGTTGGCCCAATACACTTTTAATTGTGATTTGCTTTACTCATCATAGAGCGTTTATATAAATTTTCAGAGCCGAATTCATTCCAAATTCTCTGTTTAAATGCGCTAGGTTTGCCCCACTTCTTCTTGCCAGACAGAAATTGTGCACCTAATTTCTTGGGTTGACCTCCTTGTCATTCTGTGGGTTGATGGAAAATGCAAACAATACCAAAATTTTACTACTTATCTATACTATGTTTTCTGAAGAAATAAACGCCCTATGATGAGTACCTGAAAAGCAAACTTAAAACTGTATACTTACTTTTAAGACACCCTGTATAAATGTTCGGGGCTTGGGCAAACAAAGACTTTTATATCACGTACACAATTTGACAATTAAAGCAATCAGTAGAAACTATTTCATATTTATAACTTATATTTGGAATTCGGTCATAAGGTTCAGAAACGTCGTGGGAGAACCAGTCATTATACATACAGAGACGAATCATCGATTTGCACAGGGAAAGTATGCATCAGAAAAAAACATATTTACGAGAAGGATAATTGAATCAATGAATACATTCCATGACATATCTTTTGAGAACTTGAGACCGAATAAACAAAAAAATTCAATCAGATTTAATTCCGCATTTGCTGTGTGGTGGCAATATCAGTTTTGAAGCAATATTTATTGTCATTTTATGTAATTACATTGTAATATATTTCCTACTCTTAACTGTTGTGTCCTGTGTCCTATCTTCTTCATCTGCTCCTTGACTGGATACATATTTCTCTAAAACTATTCTTTCCCGTGTACCACATGAATTGTCTGACTCACTGGCTTATTAATGTTCTGACCATTAATCAGTTATTGATGTTTTTTTGCGACTTTTCTTACAGGTAAAATTTTTTTCGAGAAATACTGCAGCAGTACATAGTAAGAGATCTAGGTACTATCTTCTCTGTGAAGCTGCCGAGTACGGATTTACAGAGAGATTTCCCTACATCTACAAACAAACATTTTTCAAATTGGTCACCTGTTACTCGTCTAAATTGGTGACAAATTTATAATATACCCTGCAGATTATACCCATCCATAATACGCATAAAATTCATATTTCTGATTGCCAAATTTAATAAATGCACCTTCGTATAAAATCGAAATTTTTAAATGTTTTTGCTGTAACTTTCCTGTCTGTAACTTCCGTGCAATGAGCACGAAATATTAATACTGCTGCTGGATGTCTGGATGATCGACATTCACAATTTTCTAACAGGTTAGCCATTGTTTCGATAACGAAATGTTTCAAGTATGTAAACCAATATTAGATTGCTTGACACTAAGGATGGGGTTGGGGACCACAGAATTTAAAGACATGATAAAATGATGTTGATTTAAGGGGTAACTAGACGTTATGCACCTGCACATCATAGGTACGATATATAGATGTAAAATAGGCTACTGGATTGCAACTGCAAAATGAACTTCCCAATGATGGATCTGTTGTCAATATGTACCGAACAGAAACAAAAATTACAGTAGAGGTAACGTTCAACTAAGTTATGGAATGCTAAAAATAATTAACAAAACAAAATAAAACGACATCTTTTTAATCTGAATAAAAATAATATACAAAAGAAACGCCGTATATAATATATATTCGCGATTAACGTATTTTAATAATTTCAAATTAGTTTTTCATTGTATTCTACAGGAAAATGTCAGTAATGGGTGTCAATTTTCTTTGTATTTATTCATACAATACTCGGATTAGCTTATGAATGATGTTAAATCGAAATTTGGAAAATTTATGTTTAGGCCTACGTACTTGGGTATCCAACGATTCACATATAAAAGAATAGCCTTCTTTAAATACTGGTAATTTTAAATCTATGAGAGTAGTTAAGTATACAAATAAGATAATTGACAACCTGAACAATAACAATCTTGCAAAACAACCCAAATCTACTTCGTAGCCAACTACATTCATTTGCGATCCCTCAATAATCAAAAGTTAGTTTAACGTGTTTTGTGTTTGAGATGACATATATTTGAGAACGTCGGACCGAACCGAACAAAGATATGATATCGAATTTCTAACTTGATAGTATAGTGACAATATCAGTTTTACGGTAACGATCAATGAATTTCCAATTCCTTTCGTCATGTTGCAGGACGTTCAAGACACTGTCTATAGCAGTGGTTCTTAAACTGGGGGGGGCGCGAGATGCTCACAGGGGGGGCGTGAGAGGTCACAAGATGTAATCGGAAATTTACATGTAACGGTTCCTGAAACGGTCTCCGCGTTCGTTAAAATACCGGCTTTTCGTGTTATAATAAATTTTTCTGTCTCGTAATAACTATAATAATTCAAGATGTCTCTCTATTTTAAGTCATTTGTGTTCAAGGTAACTCGCGGGTTGCGGCGATAAAATAAAAGCACCAGTACTCCAAAAATAACACGGTAATCCGCAACCATAAAAATGTCGATTACATTTTGTTTTGATTTGTATTCTTGCCAATTTCACCAATATGAGCTGTCCCTGCAACTCTTA